TTTGTAAGAGTTGTTGTAGTCATGGTGCTTCTTCACAGCAATAAAACACTAACTTAGACGATGTCTATCTGTAGTAAAATTCTGTTTCTCACCACAGTTAAGTATTAGTGTCACTCCCTGAGCATGACTTCAATGAGCATATGTCTCACTCAGAAGACATAATAGCATGATATGTGTGCACAGATTTCCATGTGCTGTGGCCAGAAGAGGACATCAGAGGAACAAAAAGTATATTGATGTCACTTCGTGAGTCAAATGTTAGCTATCAAAAACCACGTTATAGAGTTGAGACTATAGCTTGGTAGTAGACTGCACAGGGCCTAGGTTCAAACCCAGTATGGAGAGGAGGAGGGGGAGAGAGCTGGTACATAGTTGGAAGCAGACGCAGAAGGAAGATAAGGAGCACATGGTTATCCCCAATTATATAGCCTGGGCTACATGGAATTATCTCAATGAATTAAAAAATGGGACTAGGAAAATGACTCCATAATGTCCTTGGCACATATCATGAAGATCCACGTATGATCCTCAGAGCCCATGTAAAAAAAAAAGCCAGACTTGGTAGTATTCCCTTCCCCTCCATGAAGAAATCGGGTCCCAGGGTCTTGCTGGCCAGCTCTATGAAAATCTATCTCAAAAGGCTGTTCTGACTTCTAAATATGTGCCATGGCCTGTGTGCTCCCTCCTCGACCAACGTCGCATACATACAATGGAAGAAGTGATAGAGGAAGAAACTGTCTGGTTTACACACACACACACTACACACCACACACCACACACCACACACACAAGACTTCATGGACATTTAAGCAATGACATTTTGACTTAATTCTAAGTTGTCTTCATTAGCTTAAACAAACGTTAAGGAACAAGTCTCTAACAAAAGCTAAGCACTATTGTGTCAAGTGTTTGCTGGTGACTGGGAAGGGCTCCTCCCTTTCAGAACCTGTTCGCCTTGGTCCTGGACTCACTGCCAGGTCCTCAAGCTGCTCCGTGATAAGGTCTGAAATCAGGTTCCCTAAGAACAACAGCATCTCAAACTCGAAAGGTACAGAGTGATAGAGGACATTTGAGCCCCTGGTCTCTCCCTCCATCTTCCCTATGTTCACACACAGCATATCCATCACACCCCACAACTGGATGAAAAGAACGATTAATGGTGATAGCTGGGTATATTTAACAAACCTGGATTAGCAATACAAAAGCACAGAAATGTAATGACAGTCGATGGAGTGTTTCTTCTTGTTGGGTTTTTTTTTTCCCTCCAAAGTTCCTAGGTTCAACAATGTCCTTCTGAGCTTTATTGGACAATCTGGGTCACACAACGTGATGGGTTTTTACCCCAAATCTGTACAATTGCCCTATTTCTGTTTTAAATTCATTCTTATTTTTTTGTTGTGTTCTGCGCTCTTAGTGTAATGTATAAAATGGTGATCGCGCCCCTCATCTTCTTGCTGTCTCCTACATCTCTCCTCTCTTCTGTCTCTACCCCACCTCTCCTCCTTTCTGTTCTCATTCTATTCTTTTTATCTCCATTCTCCCTCTTTCTCTCCTTCCCCTCTCCTGTCTTGCTCTCTTCTCTCTCCTCACCCTCATGACTCTCTCTGTTCTCTGTCTTTTTTTCTTCTCTTTCTCTGATCTCTGTTCTCTCTTCTGTCTTTGATCTCACCTCTCTTCTGTCTCTCTCTCTCCTCACATTCTTTCTTTCCTTTCATCATCCTCACCCCTCTTTCTCTGATCTCTCCACTCTCCCTTAACTCTTTTTTTCTCTCGGTTTGCTCTCATCTATCCTCCCTGTTTCTTTTCCTTTTCTCTACACACTCACTTTCTTCTCTGTTCCCCCTCTCTCCTCACTCTGTTCTCTTTCTTTCCTCTCTCCATCTTCTCATTCACTTTTCATTCTCTCCTCTTCCTCTGATCTCACTCTCTCCTCTCCTCTCATTCTTTTGCTCTCTTCTCTATCTCTCCTCCATTCTCTTTCTCTTGGAACTCTCTCTTCTCTTTCCTCTTAGTGTCTTTCTCATCTCTCACCCATCTCTCTTTCTCCCAGTCTTTCTCTCTCCTCTCTGTCATCTGTCTCCCACCCTTCTGTTTCCTTCTGCCCAGGTGAAGGTTGAGAATTCACCTCACCAGAGAGCAGCCTGCCTTTCCTTTCCTATTCCACTATTTGGGACAGTCTGTGCTCTCACTGTCTGAGTAAAGTGGCCTGTCTCTCCTTCTACCTCTCTTTTTTCCCTCGTCTTTTTCTCTCTCTTCTGTGATGTTTGTATCTTTTATCTCTCTCCCTCTTCTCACACATACTCTTGCTGTCCTCTTTCTCTTTCTCTCTCCTTTTGTTTTCCCTCTCTTTCACTCTCTCTCTCCTTCTGCCAGTCAAGCAGCACACATGAAAATACAGGTAAAGGAATGTACGTGGATTCAATATTACAGGAATGATCACGGATGTTCTCATAAAGCAGCACACCTGTGTCCCAGGTCCCAGAGAGTCAGGAAAAGTGCAGACAGCTATGCTCTTGAATGCCTTTAATCTGGACTAGCAAAAGCTAACCTGGGGAAATAGAAGTGGCGGGGGGAGGGGGGGACAAGGGAGTGGTTGCCAGACTATGCCAGACTAATGCAGACTCTGGTCTTCAGCAGATTCGGAGCAACACATCCCTGCCCCCACCCCCGCGCGCGCCCCTGAACAAACAAACAAGAGAGCTTCTGTGGAGAAAGAGTGTCAAATCTTTGGCACAGGGCACAAAGGTACTATTGCAGCCCTGTGTAGGAGGTGTTTCTGTCCCAGCAGCAAGCAGAAGTCTTACTACCTCAAACACACAGCAGTGCACCCCATTCAGTCATTAAGAACAGAGTCTACCATCATCCCTATGAAAATGTCCCTTAGGGCAAGGCTGCTTAGGCTGGGGGGATGCCAAAAGCAAAAGTGGACCTTGTCAAGAAGAAAATACAATTCATTTTATTCATTTATTTATTCCTATTTGTAGACAGTCTGCATGTCTATGTACCACGTGCATGCCTGGTACCCACAACAGACAGAAAAAGGTATCGGGTCCCCTGGAACTGTAGTTACAGATGGTTGTGAGCCACCCTTCAGGTGCTGGAAATGGATCCCAGGTTCTCTAGAACAGCAGTCAATGTTCATAACCACTTCCCAACTCTCTAGCCCAAAGGAAATGTAATTCCTTAACAGCCATCAAAAAAGCAGCATTAGGCCAGGAGTGGTACACACCGTAATCTTAGCTGAGGTAGAAGACTGTCATAAATTTGAGCCATCCTGGGCCATAGAGTGAGACACTGTCTCAAAAAAAAAAATGCTTTAAATTCACAGTTGAAATGCAATCTCTAACAAAAGACAGAATGCAGGACAACAACCCAGTAGCTTAAAGTGGTCTTGAGGTCACAGAAGTCACACAGCCCTTGCATTGAGGATATCAATCCATCAACTTGAAGGGCCACAACTTGCAAGTCCTACCTAGTCCCCTCCCCCTAATATTACAGGTGGCAAGTAACCAAGCAGCAAGAATGATATTTACCAGATATCTAGAATCATCCTTGACATCACACCTCCCTGGCAATTTTACCTTTAAATCTTTCAATCCACCCCACCGGCCTCCAGAAGATATGCCTGTCTCCCAAAAATCCATATCTGGTCATAGGCTCCTTCCCTTAGTCTTCAAGGAACACCCTGATCTCAGGATAAAAATGGAGCCACTATGGTGGTCAGGTGTTCCTTCTGGCTCACTTGGAACACTTCTCCCCATTCCTCGAAGCCTTTGTTTACAAAGGCTTGCTAGCCAAACTGTCCATGTATACTGCCTGTCTGTTGCTTCTGGTCCAATCTTCCAACCTTCTCAGAGACTTGACTGCAACCATACAACCCTATCACTTACTCTAGGAGGGCCCAGTAGTAGCAGGTCCTAGGGAGTACACAACATTAAGGCCTGCTTTCCCAAACGTCTTCCAAGGAAACCCGTAACTGCACTGGGACAGGGTGGAGTTCCTCTCCTAATTTCTGTTCCCATAAGGCCATCTAGGTCAAAGCTTCTTACATTGTTTCTGCCCATGACCCTAGAATTGTTTAGGTGAACCCAGGTATATAGGTATATAAAATAGGCACACTACTCGAATGTTTACTGATGATAAATCATATAGAATTTTGTTTTAATTTTATTTTACAACAATTCTCTGATGCACGTATAATTTTACCATTTAAGACAAAAGCAAAGTCTGGATGTGCTTTAGTTTTATTTAATAAAATATTAAATATTGACTGAACATTTGTTATTACATTTTCATAGTTGTTTTTGTAGTTTAGATATTATGATCAATGCTGAGAACAATGCTATAGCACAGAATGGCAGAAGTATGCTTGTCCCCTATTTCCAAGCCAAAATTTAGTCCTTTTTTTTTTTAATGAAACTCAAGTCAACAAAACACCAATTTCTTAAACCAAATATTTTAGTACGATACAATTCGAAGATAAACTAATTTGATACAAGCTGATTAAAACAGTGAGAGGATAACAACAGGAATCTGTTTCCTGAAATTTAACTGCTGTATTTTATGTGTACAGTAAAACACTGCAAATGATAGCACAACAGTATTGACTGAGCTATTTCAGGCAGTGTTCTTGACTTTGTGAAAGGGCAGTGTAACTTGTGCATGTTGTATTCAGAAGTAAAGCTTCAATGAAGCCACAAGAGGCCACAAAGGGAAGGCTACTAGAAACCCCACGAATATATTACATTTTTATTTTGAAATAATTTTTGATCATTGCTATTAAGGACAAATGGCTAACTGGGATGCCTATTTAACATAGCAAAGCAGACTGGCCACCATGTTCTCCCAGCATCTCCCTACATGTCACAGGGTTTGGCTCTCATATCCTGCCCCCTATCCTAAACTTCTCCAGTCCAAGGAGTGGACTGCCCCTCCTCCGCCCTTCCCTATATAATCCAGCCATTTTGATTGTCCAGCCCTTTGTCCACCCTTTAGTCTCCTGGTGTCCTGGCTGGCCCCTCTCTCCTCCCTCCTCTCCTCACATGGCCCAACCTGAGGTCATGTTCACTCCTACCTCTGGCTAAGCTCTCCCTTTTATCTACAATAAACTTTCTCCACCATACCTAAGAGCAGTCACGTCCTTTCTTTTTTATTTTTTTTCATTCAATCGCACGTTCAGAAACTTTATACAGTTATCAATTTTTTTTCCCACAACCCGCACATCCATATGACCTCATCAACAGATTACAGTGACAGACCACAGATGACGAAAAGTCTAGAAACTTGCTCAGGTTTATCCTATCAAAGATAACCCACTCTGTCGTCCTCCTAGTCAGTGGAACAGATAGATGTGCAATGCTGGCAAGTGCCAGGCAGCCAGGCACTGCGCTAGCCAGCCCGCGCCCCGATGGGGTCCTTCGGGCCATTGCCGGACAGCCCAGCTCGGGGTCCTGGTGCGGTCGCGTAGCAGCGGCAGGGACGCGGCCAAGCTGCTACCGGAGTGCGGTCGCCTGTTAGCGGGTAAGCCGGCTGCCTTTGTGACCCACGGGCTGTGGTGGGCGAGCGCCTCAGCGGTGTCCCGCGTCCCTTCAGGCCGAAGCAAGGACCAAGTTCTTGGGGAACCCGCTGAGAGGAGGGGCGAAGGGAAGGCGGGGACCCGGCCGAGGCCCCATCGCAGTTGGCGAGTCCTTTAAGGGAGATGGTGGTTAGGCCTGGTGGGCGCCTAAAAACGTTTGTCACACGAAAGAAAGCTTGCCCCCACCCCAGACCTGTGAGGACAGACAGAGGCAGTCACCGAGGGGTTTCCTTCGCGAATCGATTGGCGGGGTTTGGCTTTGGAACGGATCGCTCCCTGTGCAGGATGAAGGTGGAAGGGACAGAGTCCTCGCTATGCTCACCTATAATCACTGCTGGAGCCTGGGTTCCTCGTTTGCCAAGGCCGTGGCTTTGCGGAAATACAGTCGCGCAAACGTGGGACCCTGTTGCTGATTTTTATGTCAGGCTTGTGCCCACACGTGTGTCATGGCCCTCACTGCAGCCAGTTGAGCCCGCTCCAGTGTCTGCTCGAGTTAGTGAGTGCGAGCTCCTGCTGCTGCTGAGCCGGAGTGTTAGAATCCGAAGAATCCGTATTGTTGTGTATTCCTTAGCAGTATTGTTTGCCCAGTCTTATTTGGGTATGAAGCGAGTGGACTTGGATTGAGATGATGTGACATACCGCTGTTGACATCGAGCGGTAGTGTCTTGTACTTATGGAAATATGAGGAGTACGAGTTTGCACAGAACTGAAGAACAGTTTGTGTTTAATATGTAACATCCCTATATGCCCCAGTCTCCTATTTACAAACCTAATGAGCAGTTAAATATCTGAGTTCAGGCAGTGAAGGACAAAATCTTGGTGTAGGTATGGTTTGTATCATCCATATTAGGAAACGGTTGAAACTACTAGAGCAGTGCTTCTCAACCTATGGGTCGCGACCCCCTGGAGGTCGAATGACCTTTTCACGGGGGTCACAAGAACATCAGAAAACACGGGTATTTACATTAGGACTCATAACAGTAGTGATATTACAATTATGAAGTAATTGTATGGAGGGGGGCTGGAGAGATGGCTCAGAGGTTAAGAGCACTGGCTGCTCTTCCAGAGATCCTGAGTTCAGTTCCCAGAAACCATATGGTGGCTCACAACCATCCGTACTGAGATCTGGTGCCTTTTCTGGTCTGCAGGCATACATACAGACAGAACACTGTATACTTAATATTAAAAAAAAAAAAAAAGAACCTGGTCTGCAGGCATACATACAGACAGAACACTGTATACTTAATATTAAATAAAAAAAAGAATATGGGTCAGGCATAGTAGATTGTATGGTTAGTGTCAGCTTGTTTTTACCAAGTATCAGGCTTACCATGTGAATTAGGCACTATTTGTTGTTGTTTGTTGCTTCGTGTTTTACAAGTAAAAACACTTGTTTGTTGAACTTGTAAATCTAGTTTAGAAGGTAGGAGGAGGGGTGTGGCCTGATCACATCTGCAACAGGAAATGACCAGAGAATCTAGAAGCAAAGATACAGCCCTAAGGCTCAGCAGATGGTGGCCAAGTTGTCAGGTTGTGTGTCCTTGAGCACTCTCTCTCGGCTGTTCAGGAAAAAGAAGAAAGTAGGTTTAGTTGAAGGGAGATCTCATCTCTAATGGTGACCTCTTGTTGACTTTTCCAGACAGTGATAAGACTCCAAGGCTGGCTCTTCTCTGTGGCCACGAGCTCATGGCAGGGGACAAAGCCAAGCATTGTGAACTGGACCAGGAGAAATATGATGCTCACGACAACGTGAAGATCATCTGCCTGGGGGACAGTGCGGTGGGCAAGTCCAAGTATGTTGGGAAATTAGGGAAGAAGACACACGATCCCAGAATGGATTGATTAGAAACGTCCTCCAGAGATGATGAAGAAGTGGTTTCTATGAGCTGATGAGGGGGAGCCTCGACTGGAGCCCAAGTGTGTGTGGGCGAACAACAGGCTTGTGTCTATATCTGTATTAACGAGGAAATGGGAGAGTCAAAGGGACAGAAATCGGAGTTTTCTGAGTCCTGACAGAAGTTGTAGAATGGGTCACCACCAGAATTTCTGGAATAGTACAGAGTATGGAGGTGGCAAGTGGGATATTACTACATGTATGAGGCTAGAGAGGAACAGTAGGAATGGAGGAGAGGGACGTGATAGGTACAATACAGGCAGTAAAGATGATTTCTTGGAGGGACTCCCTGAGTTGAAAAGCACAGGTAGCAACAATGATAGACTGTGATGGTGTTAAAGACTGGACTGTTGCTCTGCCTTGGCACCTGCTGTGCAGGGGTGGAACTCTCCACCTGGAGAGCTGAAGTAAAGCTCTGCAGTCCACTTAGCTTATCTCCATCAGACATCCGACCTCTCACCCGTCCAGGGTGAGATAGCGAGGGTGCATGTGCATTTCTGCCTTCAAAGAATGAGGATAGAGTTGTTCCCATGTAAATGTCTAGTTTAGTCTCCCACCCCAGCTGTTCCCAGATCACCTCACACGCTACTTCAGGCCCTTCAGACCAGAATAGCTATGAGGAGTTCCTGGAAGCCTTGCTAGTTTTAGGCCAGCTTCATGAATTCACATTCATTTCTCCACCTTACATTAAAGCTCTGCTGTCGTATTGCTTTAACCTCAGCAATATCCCATACAATTAAGGTAAGGCTTGGAAGATTCTCTGGTAAATATCAGCCCTTTGTCCACACTTGAATTTAGAACTGACACGGAAAACCAAAGTGGCAGGCAAAGGGAGACCAATTGTTGATTTAATAGCCGATAGACCTTAAGGGAAATGTGGACTGGAGAGAAGCCCAAGAAGGGCCTGCTAAATCAGCATTAGCCTAATAATGCAGTTTAAAAATAAATAAGTAAATAAGTTGTTAGCAGTTCTGGCCTCTAGGACATTTTGAAGACAAGGAGTTTCCAGCCCCTTTGAGACCTCTACAATGTTAGAGACCATGGTAGAATCTGTGTCTAGAGGAAGGTTGGTCCTCATTTCATCGGACTCAAGAATTCTCTGCCAGTTTTTAGTATTCCTCTACAATGTTAGAGACCATGGTAGAATCTGTGTCTAGAGGAAGGTTGGTGGGTGAGAAAACCTCAAATCATGGTACTCAAGAATTCTCTGCCAGTTTTTAGTATTCTGAGGCCTCGAGGCCCCTCCCAGGTGACTCTAGACTGCATCATGTCAACACTTGAAATTAACAATCATAGGAGTGTTAAAATCAGTTTGTTTTTATTTAAAACTTGTATACACAGTTATATAAATCATATATATGATTTTAAAATCTTTCCAGGAGGTGGGATGCTTGTTGTTTTGTTCTTTGTTTAGATTTACTATTTGGTCTGATTGGGAGTTAGTAGTTATAATACCAAGAAAAGGTTTCAAGGCTACCCTGTGGCTCCAAAATGTAAATTAAGTTAAGCGTGTTAACTGTGCTCACATTCGTGTGTTCAGATCTGAGTGGGCCCCGGTACACTGCCTGGATATTGAAACATAGTGATAGACTAAAGATTCCCAAACTGCTGTGCCACACACACTGTTCTGATTGACAGAGGCATTAGAGTAAATCAACTAGTGTTTCTGTTGTGATTCTGTGCAGGTCAGGGAGGAACGAAAGAGTACAAGCTGGGTGGAACTTCTTAGCTATCACAGGGTCACCTTCCTGCACGGGAGACATCTGAGCAAAGCCTTAAGGAATGGCCGAGTCTTGGGAAAATGACTATTGATTGAATAGTCTTCTTGGCCTTGGTTTTCCCCTGTCTAGACAGTGATAATTCTATGTGTAGCAGTATGTGAGATGGAAATAATGGATCAGGGATCCCCATGCAAATTGGCCCATAAAGTGATGCAGTGGTTTGGCAGTCTGAGCTTGGTAATGGTGATTCCCACCATGCAGGCTTGACTAGAAACTGTGACTGAAAGTTCACAAGAGATTGGAAGCCTCAAGTGGCTTCCAGGTTGTCGGCCCAGGGGTAATGAAGTAGGGACAAGAAGATAAAGATACTACATGACCTGTGACCTAGCACATTTCCCTTACAGACTCATGGAGAGGTTTCTCATGGATGGATTGTATCCTTAAAAGCTTGAAATGTACTTTGTTCCTGTGGCTTTTCCTACTCCCATGCATCATAACCTCCAGTCCACTCCTTTATACCAGCAGCCCAGGAAAAACCAATGGGTTGCATCATATAATCCAGGCTGTTTTGTCTTGAGGTTACTTACATTGGGGTTTCTACTAGGAAGGCAGGAAGAACAGCAGACAGCACTTAGTCTGTATCAAATGCCTGGGTGCAAATCTTACCTCCTTAGTAGTTCTGACCTTGAGTTAATCATTTCACCCCTTACCTCAGAGCCTAAAAAGTCTTTGTAGGGATAAGCTTTATAAAATGTGGGGTGTCCCCTCATCCTGTGCCCTATACTGATCTGAAGTAAGGAGCTGTAACTGAGAGCCTCAAAGTTCCCCTAAGTAGACCCCCAAGGGCTGCATGCAAGAACTGCAGGACCAGTGAGTCTCTCCCTGACCTTAGCCCCCAAAGGCTGATGCCACTCACTCTATACCAAGCCCCACTGTGTTGCTTCAGGTTTGCTCATTCCTGTCCAGCATATTTCAGTTTCAAGAGATGCTGTTCCCCAGGTATTTTGCTAGTGTTTCACACACAATTGAACTTAAGTTTGTAAATGCTTTGTCAGCTGCCTGGTGGAAGTAGTTTTTACTGTGGGACAGTCATGACACTCTAGCCTATAAGAACTCTGTCCACGAAAGGCTCAAAGTGTCCACAGTTACATCTCCTAGCATCGAGATACCACTTAAGACAACTTTTCTATAAATTCTTGCTCCAAGTTACCTCACACTTAGGTATCCAGGGCATTCTCCCAGGCCCTTCCTTAGACCTTGTGTCACTGAAGCTGGCTCTGTCTATCTGTAGGATTCATTCAACTTGAAATCTAACTTCTTTATAGGGAGGACAGAGTCAGGAGAGTAACCACAAATTTGAGGCCACCCTGGGCTACACTGGAAAAACTGTCTCAACAAAGAGAGGGCCAGGCATGGTGGCCTTTAATCCCAGGACTTGGGAGGCAGAGGCAGGAGGATCTCTGTGAGTTCCAGTCCAGCCAGGACTACAGAGTGAAACCTGTCTCAAAAAATTAAGAAAATCTTAGTAAGGAGAGGGTCCATTCTATCACATAAATATCCCCATTTCCTTACCTCCTTTTTCTCACCTTTGCTCCTTAACCTGCATCCAGTCAGCCACAGCAGCTGTCCACATATGCTCTGACCCTGTATAAGCACACGGCCACAGTAGACGGCAAGACCATCCTTGTGGGTGAGCAGCATGGGCTCCCAGGCTACGCTGAGTGGGGTTTGGGGGTGGTAGGAAAGGAGGCTCATGAGAGAGGGAAGGAAGAAAAAAATGGGAAGTCAGAGAGCATTTATGGAGACACACAGAACATAAAGTCTCAGGCCAGGACTAGTGTGCAGGGCAGGATTTAGAAAAGCAGACATTGGGGGCTGGAGAGATAGTTCAGAGGTTAAGAGCACTAGCTGCTCT